CAATTGAGGACAAGGGTCCTCAGCTAAGTTCTGGTCATCAGGGGCCAAACAGCTCAATGCTGTCCAGTTTCTCCTCTTTGTAGAGCAAGATATTCTCCATCAGTTTCCTTTTGGCCTCATTGATCTCGATTTTCCACGAAGTCTCTGTAGTTGATATTCAATGGAAAGTTTTTTTAAAAGCCACTTGAACAAAAAGCATTTGGTAATAGATACTATTATTATAAGTCTTAGAAAATCAGACTTGGTCACAGTTTCTCACTTAAATCAGGTTTCTGAATCAGGCCCTGAGTGTAATGAGCATTTTTATCATTTCTGCCTTTGCAGGAAAGCCCTGCCACCTGCCCCCACCTTTCAGAGAAGAGGTGGGGCTCCCATGTTCCTCCACAAGGTAGGATGATGGGGTGGAGTGAACACTTACACCCTTCTCCCTCTCTGTTCCACAAGGGAGGAGAAGCAGCAGGAATGGCCAGAGCCTTGGACATTCATTGAGTCAAATTGACTAGGGGACAAAGCATTGAAGAAGTCTTCCAAATTTTTTATTTCAGAAGGAAGCTTCATATATTTGGTGAGAAGGTAGCTTTACAAGCTACCAGCTGGCAAGGATGGGTTCATGTTAAGAAGTGAGGCTGGAGAAGCAGGCAGGGAGGGACAAACCATACAGGGCCTTGCTGGTCACTCTGGGGAGGCTCTGGACTGGCACAAGCCTCAGAGGAGGAGGCAGCCTGCATTCCCCCACTGGCCTGCATTATGCCTTCTCCATCCTCCGTGGGGTCAGGCAAAACATCAGTCCCAGACTGGGGTGTTGCCCTGGTGGAGGAGGAATCATCAAGGCTAGAATTGTCTACATCATCTGTTTCTTCTGGGACATTGGAGGAAGAGCCTGTGCCCTCAGAAAGCCCATCCCAAGAGAGCGACATCTCCTGACCTCTGAGCTTCTCTTCCACAGCAGCCACAGAGCCACATACCTCCGCTAGATTGGAGTTCCGCCTCCGCAGGAAGAGGCAGGTGCCTGTGGCCAAGGCCTCAGCACAGTCCTCAGGCAGCCACCCTGCTGTCTTCTCCAGGTATTTTTGGCAGATCTCCTTGGCCATCACTTTCTCTGTGCCCATCTTCCTGGAGCAAGGAATTTCACGGAGGAGTAAATCCTTCAGGAAAATTGGGCTTCAGTTGTTATCCATCGCAGGGATGCCAGTGAGGACCTCAGCTAACACTATTCCACAGCTGAAGATGTCCATTTGCTTTGTCAGCTGTCCCACTCAACTTTATTTAAGATTTTAAGGCTGAGTTGGCTATTTCAAAATGAAGGGATAAAAAGAAAAAAAAAAGATAGGGCCCTGGCTGGTGTGGCTCAGTGGACTGAGTGCTGGCCTGCAAACCAAAGGGTCACTGATTGGATTCCCGGTCAGGGCACATGCCTGGGTTGTGGTGCAGGCCCTCGGTTGGGGGCACGCAAGAGGCAACCACGCATTGATGTTTCCCTCCCTCTCTTTAAAAAAGAAAAAGAAAGAAAAGTGTTCATAATAAAATATCATGGGAAGAAAGTGAAGAGAAATTGTCCAGAATTATATGGCAATTCCTAATTATTAATGTCAGAATTCTTGTACATGAATTGTTTTTTTTTTAACTTTGAAGCTTGAGCTTTGAATGGTAAATTCATTCATTCACTCACTCACCACTCATTGATCACCTACTTTTGCAAGGCACTCAATTAAGCACTGGAAATATGAAGAAAAAGAAGACATATACCCTCCTCAGAGAGTTTATAGTTCAGTAGGGGAGATAGGCACATGGTCAGGCAGTTATATCTGAGGTGCTATGACAGGGGCACACAGAGAACTGGGGGTGAGGGGAACCTACCCTAAATTGAAGAGGGTGAGAATGCTCAGAAAGCCTTCCTGAGAACATGCTGAAGAACAAATGGGAGTTAGGCAATTGGAGAAGGAAAGCAATAGTAATTAATATTTTTTGTTCCAAGCAGTAAATAGCTCAATGCAAACTGGCTTAACAAAAAAAAATGAATTAATTATTGGCTCATGTACCTGAAAAGTCCAGAGGATTTTGGCTTCAGATATAATGGGATTCAGGGTCTAGTACAATGTCACTAAGAATCAGCTATTGCATGTAGCCGTCCAGCTCTCCCAACACCATTTGTTGAAGAGGCTATTATTGCTCCATTTTATGCTTCTGCCCCCTTTGTCAAATATTAGATGCCCATAGAGACCTGGGCTTATTTCTGGGCTTTCTATTCTGTTCCACTGGTCTATGGGTCTGTTCTTGTGCCAGTACCAGATTGTTTTGAGTACAGTGGCTTTGTAGTAGAGTTTGATGTCTGGTATTATGATCCCTCCTCCTTTGTTTTTCTTTCTCAAAATTGCTGAGGCTATTCGGGGTCGTTTATGGTTCCATATAAATTTTTGAAATGTCTGTTCTATTTCTGTGAAACATGTCATTGGTATCTTAATAGGGATTGCGTTGAATCTATAAATTGCTTTGGGTAGTATGGACATTTTGATGATATTAATTCTTCCAATCCATGAGCACGGTATATGCTTCCATTTATTTGTGTCTTCCTTAATTTCTTTTTTCAATGTTGTATAGTTTTCTGCGTACAGGTCTTTTACGTCTTTGGTTAAATTTATGCCTAGGTACTTTATTTTTCTTTTTGCTATATCGAATGGTATTTTTTTTCTGATTTCTTCTTCTTCTATTTCATTGCTGGTGTACAAAAATCCCCTGCTGGGACTATACCCTAAGAATACCAAAACGCCAATACAAAAGAACCTATGCACCCCAATGTTCATAGCAGCACAATTGACAATAGCCACGTGTTGGAAGCAACCTAAATGCCCATCAGGAGATGATTGGATAAAAAATTATGGTACATATACACAATGGAATACTACACAGCAGAAAGAAAAAAAGAACTACTAAACTTCTCAACAGCATGGATGGAACTGGAGAGCATTATGCTAGGCGAAATAAGCCAGGGGGTGAAAGACAAATACCATATGATCTCACCTATAAGTGGAACCTAACCAACAATACAAAGATGCAAGGAAAATAAGACCAGCAACACTGAAAGGAAAAGAAATCAATAGAGACAAAAGGGAAGGAGGGAGGAGGGTCCAGGAAAGTGGTGGGGGGTAGGCAGATGTATTTGAAAAAATAAATTAAAATAAAATGAAAAAAACATATCTGAGAAAAAAAAAAGAATCAGCTATTGGTGTGGTGTACCCAATAACACCTCCCTTCTTTCTTGCTAATATAACCCCAAATTAGTTCATTCTTGGAATTGCTACATCCTTCAGGAGTGACTGGGCTGTGCTAATTATATTTGTAATTATCCTTTTTCCCAATACATCACATTCTGAATTACCACAGGTTAGGGCTTTATATATGAATTGGATAAGCGGGGGCACATTCAACCCCTAACACCCTCCCTTTTTCTCTCACCTTTCTCAGATCTCCTGGTGATATCTCCCATTGGCAGGACCCAACTAGAGAGTAAAGGAGCCTGGTTATGTGAACCCTAAAATGAGCCTCCTGAGGCATGCAAGAGGGTGGAGAAGGGTAGACCTGGAAGGGCAAAGAGAGATTTTCCAGCACACTCTGTACTGCCTTCAGTCTTGGGAAGGATCTGTATACATAGCAACTTCTAGATTTGCTTGTTCTTAGCTCCTGCCATCCTGAAAGGAGAGGTGGGATCCCTCTGTCTCCCAGTTTAAATAACAATTCTCTAAAAGGAGTTAACTGATTCTGTTTGGGTTAAAGAGACTTTAAAGGTCCTGGGAGGCAGGATACCTAGTTCTCCACCCCAATGCCCTTCTTAGCATGCCCTCTCCCCCATTACTCCAGGATGGTTTCCCCCTATAGTTTAATAGCTATCTGTCACCTAGGGACTGCATTCAGTTGCATGTTATGAGAACTCAAGAATAATGGTAATAATCTGAGTGAAGTTTATTTTTCCTTATATATCAAGATGTCCAGAGTATGTTAGGCCCAAGCTAATGCTATGACTTAAGGAAGTCATCAAAGGCCCAGGCTCCTTCTAACAAACTGCTCTACCATCTTTAGCAGGTGGCTTTTGGCCTCATGGATGAAAGGTGCTGCTCCACTTCCTGCCTTACATCTGTGTTCCAGACTGAAGTGAAGGAGCAGCACTTTCTCAGGAATCCAGAGGACATACCCATTTCTATGTCATACAGTAGAACCATGTCATATGGCTGTCCTTTCCTACAGAAGAAGCAGGGAAATGTAGTTCTGCATCTTGGCTGATTGTCAATCAGGTTGCTATTAATAAAGATGAAGCAGAACCCTGGCTAGTGTGGCTCAGTTGGAGTGTCATCCCATAACCAAAAAGTTTCAGGTTCGATTCCTGGCCAGGGCACATCCCTAGGTTGTATGTTTGATCCCCCATCTGGACATCTATGATCCCCTTCCCAGGCACATATGGGAGGCAATCCACTGAAGCTTTTCTCTCACATCGATATTTGTCTCTTTCTCTCTTCCTCTCTCCCTTCCTCTCTCTTTAAAAGCAATTTAAAAAATGAAGTAGAGAGTAGCTGTTGGGTGGACAATTGTCAGGGTCAACTGCACTGCCTAATGACACCTGTATGCTTGGCTCCTACATTTGAAAGTGGCACCCAGACCCAAAGTAATACTGTTCTGAGGATTTTAATGGACTGGGGAAAAGCAATAAATACAATTAGATTTAAATAAAATCCTTATGAGAAAATTCTAAAAGCATATAATAATGCTTTTAGAGCACTATTATGAGCTCTAAAGCACTGTCTTTATTAGTCCCTGCTGTCAGAAAATATGCTTATCCAAAAATGGAGAAATGTCCTCAGAACTCTGTATGTCACCTGTTTGTTGATGTGCTTATAGTCCTCATAGAGGATTCATGCATATTTCATCTAACAAGCCATCAGCTGCTCTTCCTTTGTCTTGCTTAAACATGTGGACAAAGAATATAATTTAATTCTTTCTTCTCTCTTTAGAGGAAAAGAACCAAATTCATTGCCAGTGATTTTCTGACTGAGTGGTTATACAAGTAAGTTTTTCATGAATATTCAATGACCCTAAAGATTCAATAGTGTTAATTTGCAAGCAGAATAACAACAATTGACTTGAATTCTTGCTTATTGTTTTCTTGTCAATCAAACATATGGCATCATGACCAGTCAAAATCCAAAGAGAACAGGGAAGCGGTTCACAGAATTTTTCTCCATTCCATTTGTGGAGCAATGGCTGAAGCAACAGTAAGTGCCTACATAAGGCTTTGAATAATTTATTTCTAATTTTAAAATTGTGTTAATGATAGTTTTCTCCAGTCTAAGAGAACTAACTCATGTAATCCATCCACGCCCCCAAGTCAGTTACGTTTGTGGCTCTTGTCTCATTATTTTTATTCTAGGCTAAAGGCATCTATCCATGCAGTGATTATTCAAGAAGCACGTCAGAAGAAAAATAGAAAACTTTAAACATGTCTTATACTCTCCCTCCCTCTCTTTTCATTCCCTCCTTCCCCCACCCCTGAAGGTCATTATGCCTCAGGAAATGTGATTAAAGTTTTCTAACTATTAATTTTTAGTTATATGCATCAGTTCTACATTTAAAATCTTCAAACATGACCGATAAATTGACCCAATCTAATCTGAGTCTTCTTACAGAAGTAATCTGTTTGGCCTACAGTACATCCTTCCAGAGTCTTAAAATTTGTTATTTAAGCATATTAAGTTAAGTTATATCATGTGAAATTAGTCATATTACTTTATATGAGCTATTTTTCATCAGTGACATAGCAATGATGATGATGGCAACTGACATTTATTGAGCACCAGTATCACCATTCTTGGCATCATAAAAATTAAAATAATACTAATTTAAGTCAATGCTATAAATATTTATTGAACACCTACAAAGTTCAAGACATAGAGCTTGGTGCTGTGGAGAAAACAAAGATGAACAAAATATGGCTCCAGACCTTGGGATGAGAGACAGGTGTTTACAACTAGCTGTAGTTTCAGCAGTGAGTATTGTAATTCATATGGTAGCAAAGCACTACAGGGAAATGTGAAGCATAATGACCATCCCCAGGCCCTCCTAACAGACCTGGAGCCATCCTATTTGGGGCAGTAGCCAAGTTGGTTGGTGCCCAGATTTGGCCTCAAGAGGCAAGAAGTCAGGTGTTGTATCCTTCTCAAGGGTGCCCTTCTCAAGAGTCAGAGAGGCAAATTGACATCAATGCCCTTAAGGAGAATGAGGGCAGCAGCCCGAGAACAATAGCTAATCCAGGTTTTTTCAAACCTCAGCATTATTAACATTTAGCTCCAGGCAACTCTCTATTATGGGGATTGGACTATGCACTGTAGGGTGTTTCACAGCATCTCTAGCCTCCATTCACTCCGTGCCAGTAGTACTCCAGCTGTCTTCATCATCAAGAATGTCTCCAGACACTGGCAAGTGTTGTGGGATGTTGGGGGATGTTGGGGGAGGGGGTGTGGAGATAGCAAAATCACCTCTGACCTAATCCAACAGTCTAAAATCATCTGGGGAGCTTTTGTTGCCTGGTTTCACCCAAGACTTATCAAATCAGACCTATGAATTCAGGATACAGCCCAGGCAGTTTTTTTGTTGTTGTTTTTCTTTAAACAGTTCCCTAGGTGATTCTAATATGGAATACAGTCAGAGTTGAGACCTCATCCACAGGGCAGAGGAAGTGCTGTGTAAATAGTATAATTGAACTATTACTTTGCTAAGCCCTTTTATGCATGTTATTTCATTTAATCTTCGTAACAACTCTAGGGTGTAGGTACTAAAGCTGAGAGCCTAGAACTGGGAAGTTGAAAATGAAGTGAGGGAGAACTTTGGCAAATATGGAAATTGTTGGGGCAAGAGCATTTTGACCATTTTGGGCATTTTGAGGAGGGCTTAAAGGTAAAGATGGGAGGAGGCTGAATTTTGATGGAGAAATTCTGTCAAGGTTTTTTCAAGGAATCAGAATATAAACTAGTACTTCTGGCAGTATTAACCCCAATACTGGGGTTAAGAGCAGGAACCTCAGTATTAAAGTCTCTATCTCTCACTAGTCTATGACTCTGGGTAAGTGTTTTAACTATCTATGACTGTATAACAAATTACCCCAAAACTTAGTGGCTTAAATAGCTGGGTGGTTCTGGTTAAGGGTCCATCATAGGTTACAGTAAAGATGTCACAGGGGCTGCAAGCATTAGAAGGCTTGCTTGAGCCTAGAGGAGCTGCTTTCAACATGGCTCACATACATGGTGGTGGTCATTGGCTAAAGGCCTCAGGCTTTCTCCACATGGGCTTTTCCATGGGCTACTTGAGAATCCTAACAATGTGGTAACAGGCCTCTTTCAGTATGAGAAACAAGAAGTAAGCTACTGTACCTTTTATAACCCAGCCTTGGAAACCAGACACTACTTCCACCATATTCTGTTAGAAGCAAGTCACCAAGTACAGCTCAAGTACCACATTCCACTGGAGAGGAATTAGGCTCCACCTTTAAGAGGGGGGAGCATGTGTGAACATATTTTAAAAGCATCACAGTAAGTCACCCTCTAAGCCTCTCCATCCTCATTTATACAATGCAGTAATAATTTCTTTTTTAATTATTTTGGCCTATATAGTATTTATTATATCCTTAAGGCTAGCATAAATATGGCATAACACAGATATTTGGGTTTTTTTTTTTAATTTTTAATTTTTCCAATAGATCTGTCTCGATTTACCTGCCCCCACCACTGAGCCTCCCCCGCAGTCCTTCACCACCTTGGCTTCATCCATGTGTCCTTCACACCTGTTCCTTGATCTGACCCTCCCCCCTCCATTACCACCCTACCTCCTGCCCTCCCATTCCTGTCGGTTTCTTCTTTCTTTCAATGTTGCTAGTCATAATTTCCTTCCCTGATTGCTTTGTTGGTTTGGTTCCACTTATAGGTGAGATCATATGGTATTTGTCTTTCACCACCTGGCTTATTTCACTTAGCATAATGCTCTCCAGTCACATCCATGCGGTTGTGAATGGTAGTAGCTCTTTCTTTCTTACTGCTGCATAGTATTCTGTTGTATAAATGTACAATAGTTTGTGATCCGCTCATTTACTGATGGGCACTTAGGTTGCTTCCAGCACTTAGCTATTGTAAATTGTGCTGCTATGAACCCTGAAGGGCATAGGTCCTTTTGAATTGGTGTTTTTGGATTCTTAGGGTTTAATACCTGCAGTGGAATCGCTGGGTCAAAAGGCAGTTCCATTTTTAGTTTTTTGAGGAAATTCCACACTGTTTTTCACAGTGGCTGCACCATTCTGCATTCCCAGCAACAGTGTACCAGGGTCCCCTTTTCTCCACAACCTCACCAGCACCCATTGTTTGTTGACCTGTTTATGATGGCCATTCTGACTGGTGTGAAGTGGTATATGATTGTGGTTTTAATTTGCATTTCTCTGATGGCTAGTGATGCTGAGCATCCTTTCATGTGTCTCTGGGCACTGTGTATGTCCTCCTTGGAGAAATGTCTGCTCAGGTCCTTTGCCCATTTTTTAATTGGATTGTTTGGCTTCTTGGAGTGGAGTCATGTGAGTTCTTTTTATATTTTGGAGATCAAATCCCCTATCTGAGGTATCACTGGCAAATATATTTTCTCAAACGGTTGGTTCCCTTTTCATTTTGCTGATGTTTTCTTTAGCCATGCAGAAGCTTCTTATTTTGATGAAGTCCCCTTTGTTTATTCTTTCCTTTATGTCCCTTGCTCTAGGGGACATATCCGTGAAAATATTGCTGTGTGGAATATCTGAGAGTTTCTTGCCTATGTTCTCCTCTAGGACTTCTATCATTTTGTGACTTATATTTAAGTCTTTTATCCATCTTGAGTTTATATTTGTGTATGGTATATGTGGGTGGTCAAATTTCAATTTTTTGCATGTAGCCATCCAGCTCTCCCAACACCATTTGTTGAAGAGACTATTTTTATTCCATTTTATGCTTCTACACCCTTTGTCAAGTGTTACTTGACCACAGAGAAATGGGTTTATTTCTGACCTTGCTATTCTGTTCCATGGATCTATGTGTCTCTTCTTATGCCAGTACCAGACTGTTTTGATTAGAGTTGCCTTGTAATATAGTTTGATGTCAGGTCTTGTGATCCACCCTACATTGTTTAGCTTTCTCAAAATCACAACAGCTATTCAGGGTCGTTTATACCTCCATATAAATTTTTCAAATGTTTGTTCTACGTCTGTGAAATATGCCATTGGTATTTAATAGGGATTGCATTGAATCTATAAATTGTTTTGGGTAGTATGGACATTTTGATGATGTTAATTCTTCCAGTCCATGAACATGGCATATGCCTTCATTTACTTGTGTCTTCATTAATTTCTTTCTTCAGTGTTGTATGGTTTTCCGCATATAGGTTTTAGTCTTTTACTTCCTTGGTTAAGTTTATTCCTAGGTACTTTATTTTTCTTGTTCCTATAGAAAAGGGGATTTTTTCCCCCTGATTTCTACTTCTGATATTTCATTTTTGGTATACAAAAATGCCTTCGATTTCTGAATATTGACTTTTTTATCCTGCTGTTTTGCCAAATTCACTTATTAGGTTGAGTAATTTTTTGCTGGAGTCTAAGGGATTTTCCATGTACACTATTATGTCATCTGCAAACAATGATAGTTGTACTTCCTCATTTCCAATTTATATGCCTTTTATTTCTTTTTCTTGTCTGACTGCTGTGGCTAGGACTTCCAATACTATGTCGAATAGAAGTGGTGAAAACGGACATCCTTGTCTTGTTCCCAGTCTTACTGGGAACTCTTTTAGTTTTGTCCATTGAGAATGAGGTCATGTGTAGGATTTTCATATATGGCCTTTATGATGTTGAGGTATGCCCCCTTTATTCCCACTCTGCTGAGTGTTTTTATCATGCATGGATGCTGTACCTTATCAAATGCTTTTTCCACATCTTTTGAGATGATCATGTGGTTTTATCTTTCCTTTTGTTTATGTGATGTATTATTGATTTGTGAAAATTGCACCATCCTTGCATCCCTGGGATGAATCCCAGTTGATCATGGTGGATGATCTTTTTAATGTATTTCTGGATGCAGTTTGCCAATATTTTGTTCAGGATTTTACCATCTATGCTCATCAGTGATAATGGCCTGTAATTTTCTTTCCCTTTTCAGTCTTTATCTGGTTTTGGAATTAGGATGGTACGGGCTTCATAAAACAAGTTTGGGAG